CGCGGCCGGCCGGGGAGGCGCCGCCGAGGGGATCGGCCTCGGCGTCGCCCGCCGCCGACGACATTAGGGCGGGGCGTGTCCGGCTAGATGGATGCGGCGGCGGCTGAGCTCATCGGCGGTCGGTGGGGGTGGGAGATCTGGGGCTGGGAGTTGGTGCTCGCGCTGGACTCTGCCGCTTCGTTGGTAGCTGCCGACTGGAGGGAGCGGGGAAACGAGAGGGAAAGGAACTCGCAGCAGATCAGCGGAGCACGGGAGCAGTAAACCGCAAGTCATCTTTGCTCCCGTGGACAGTTCGACGAAGCTTAACAACCAACCAAAGACCTGAATCTGGTCTCTGGTCTGACGGCCACGTACGCCATGACTTAGACCATTGTCTGTAAAAAAAAAGGAAGATCTAATTTCCCCTGTAAAAGAATCTCCAAGTTCTTGCATTTCAACTAAATATTTTAGTAGAATGCTCGTGCGTTGTTAATGGCCTATTAATTTTTTTTTTCTGATTACATATATCAGTAAAGTTACTAAGCTGCCGAGGCTGGGAGTGTCCTAGTGGATCGAGGGTGATGGGAGTCGGTTGGGTCCCGTTTTACAGCGGTGAACCTGGTCAGATGACGGCTGGGTAATCGTGTCCATGATTTGTGCATCGACTGTGCGTGTGGGCACGTGTCTTAGTCTGTTAGAGGTGGATAGCTCGGGCAGAGGGGATTTGCGGGATTGCGACGGTTCAGTCGCTCTGCTATTGTCGTGGGAGTGACTGGCTGAGGGCCTCGGCCTCTCTGGCAATTCCACGCATGCCGTCGCCGTCGATCAGCCAATGCGCTCGAGTCCTCCCGCTTCTCCGTCGTCACCCAGCTACCCGTCTGCCGTTCGCGCCATGGCGGCCCTTTATTCTGTTCATGCGCCATCATAAGGGTTGATCTTAAACTAATCTGAGAGGCAAGTTCCAGATGTGCGAGGGACTGAATTCTCGAAGAGTTTGAAAGAGCGGCAAAATAATAGATCGAGCTCCTCCTCGGTCGGGGAGGTCAACACCTTCCCTCGCTGGTGCGTTTTTCTCGATTGAATCAGCAAGACTTTTACAAAGCTTGCATCTTTCGGCCGAGGGCACGGACGAGCACGCGACCGCCCGGGGAGGCACCGCCGAGGGGATGGCCTCGACGTCGCCCGCCGACGACGACATTGTGGCGTGGTGTGTCCGTCTAGGTGGATGCGGCGGGGGCTGAGCTCATTGGCGGTCGGTGGGGGTGGGAGATCTGGGACTGGGAGTTGGTGCTCGCGCTGGACTATGCCGCTTCACTGGTAACTGTAGACTGGAGGCAGCGGGGAAACGAAACGGAAAGGAACTTGCAACAGATTAGCGCAGCGGAGCGGAGCATGGATGCAGTAAACTGCAAGACATCTTTGCTCCCATGCACAGTTCTACGAAGCTTAACAACCAACCAAAAGACCTAGGAGCATATATAGTCGTGCACACCAAAACGGCCTCAAATGCCCGGATGGACGTCCCGGTCACTGACCGATCACGAAAATTCGACCTAGACAGGTGCCTCAAACGCCCGAACTAACCGACACCCCTCATATATGTTAGGAAGCAACTTGTATTTTCAGGAGGCCATAGGCCAGTATATATACATGTACAGGTGTGGAATATATGCAGGAAACCCCTTATACAATAGGGTAAATACGAAAGGTTACATGGCTATATATATATAACTCTAACATCCCCCCTCAAACTCATGGTGGATTGACAACACTGAATTTGGAGAGATAGAAGCCATGCTGCGCTCTAATCCGCCAACTGTAACTCGGAAGGCACATACTGAAGAGTAATAACCTGATCCTGCGCACCAGCACGCACATAGAAAGCATCAACACCAATATGCTTGGTGAGCTCATGCTTCACAGGATCGCGTGCAATGCTAATAGCACATGTACTGTCAGATAAGAGCAGAGTAGGTGTAGTAACAGAAACACCAAAATCTCGAAGTAACCACCGTAACCAAGTCACCTCTGCCGTTAAAAGAGCCATAGCTTGTAACTCAGCCTCTGCACTTGAACGGGAAACTGTAGTCTGTTTCTTCGTCTTCCAGGCAATGAGAGAACCACCAAGAAAAACACAGTAAGCAGAAAGTGAATGGCGATCGGAGGGATCACTAGCCCACATAGCATCCGAATAGGCCTGAAAGCTGTAAAGAACTGGAGCGAGGAAAGAATAGACGGTGAGAGATCGTGCCCCGAAGATATCGGAGAACACGAAGGAGGTGACTATAGTGAACCGAAGTGGGAGCGGAGACAAACTGACTCAGAATATGAACCGGATAAGAGATATCCGGACAAGTGACAGCTAGATAGACAAGACTCCCAACAAGATGACGATAACGCATCGGGTTAGGCAAGGGGTCACCATCAGTATCACGGAGGTGGACATTGAGCTCCATGGGAGTCTCAACAATGCGCTCATCGGTAAAAGCAGCACGAGCAAGAAGATCATGTATATACTTTTCCTGAGATATAAAAAAGCCATCAGAGGTAGAAGAGACTTCAATCCCAAGAAAGTAGCAAAGAGGTCCAAGATCGGACATAAGAAATTGCTCACTAAGACGGGCCTTTACAAAGACAATATACTCAGGGTCGTCGCTAGTGATGATCATGTCATCAACATAGAGAAGAAGAAGAGTCCGACCATGAGTAGAAAGGTGGACAAACAATGCCGGATCATGCACTCGCAGAAAAACCACCGGCAGTCACCACAGAGGCAAAACGCTCAAACCAGGCACGAGGGCTTGCTTAAGGCCATAGAGAGAGCGACGAAGACGACATACCATGCCATCAGGAACAGAATACCCAGGTGGTGGCTGCATGTATACCTCCTCACGCAGCTCACCGTTAAGAAAGGCATTCTTAACATCAAGCTGAGATACAGACCAATGGCGTGCAGAGGCCACGACAAGAAGTGTATGAATAGTGGCCATATGGGCCACAGGAGCAAAAGTCTCATCGTAATCACGACCATGCTCCTGCTGAAAGCCACGAGCCACAAGACGAGCTTTGTAACGCTCAAGAGAACCATCGGAGCGAGTCTTAACCTTGTAGACCCACTTACAAGTGATGGGACGGACACCTGGAGGAAGAGAAACAAGATCCCATGTACCAGCACGTTCAAGAGCAGCAATCTCCTCTGCCATCGCAAATTGCCATTCATGATGAACAACAGCCTCACGATAAGAAGTCGGCTCAAGAACAGCAGCACCAACGATTGAAAAACCAAGGCGATCAACAGGCGGATGCAGACGAGGACGCAAGCCATAGGTAGGCTGAGACGAGGAGGACTGCACGTTAGTAGACGCATCCACAATACGTGAACGACGAGTGTAATACCGAGGAAAAGATGGAAGAGTACGAGGAGGATTAGCCAAGGTAGAATCAGGAGGCGGAGACGAAGAAATCATCGGGGATGAAGGTGTAGAATCCGGTGACATGCGAGGTGAGGAAACCATGGGAGATGGTGGCGACAAATCGGCAAGAGGTGGAGAGGTAGAGTGAGCAGGACGGAGACACAAGGGCTCAACTGGAGTGATAGGTGTGTCGGGAAAAGTGAGGAAAGAGATATCCTCCACTGAAAAGGTCGAGGAAGATGGACGCGGGTAGAGGGGACGAGACTCATCAAAAGTCACATCCCGAGAAATACGCATCCAATGACCGATAGGATCCCAACAACGATAGCCCTTATGCTCATCACTATAGCTAAGAAAACACACTCAACAGACTGCGCGATCAGTTTGGTGCATTCGCGAGGGGCGAGAAGAACATAGAAAACACAACCAAACAAGCGAAGTGTCGAATAATCAGGAGAACAATCAAAGAGACTCTCGAAAGGAACACCACCCTAGAGAGAAGCGGACGACTGAAGGTTGATGAGATAGGTGGAGGTGAATATAGCCTCGACCCAAAAATGAGGTGGAAGAGAAGCGGCGATCATCAACGCACGAGCCGTCTCAAGAAGGTGGCGATGCTTTCACTCAGCCACGCCATTCTGAGCATGAGCACCAGGACAAGAGAACTGAGGAAGAGTGCCTTGCTCAGCAAGAACACCACGCAACATCTTTGGAAATATACTCGCCATCGGAGTTAGCACGGAACACACGAATAGGCGAAGAGAACTGAGTGTGAACCATGGCAGCAAAACGCTTATAGATGGAAAGAACCTCACTACAAGAAGTCATGAAATAAAGCCAAGTGTAATGAGAGAAATCATCTATGAAAATAATATAGTATCGATGGCCCCCTTTCGAAGCAAAGGGATCCGTACCCCATACATTAGAATGGACTAAATCAAAAGGACGTTGAGACACCGACTCACTAGTAGGGTAAGGTAACTGAATTTGTTTTCCTAGTCTACAACCCTGACACCCTAAAGAGACATCTCCTGAGACAGACCCCAGAAGACCTCAACGAACTAATGACGACAAGCGAGACCCACAAAGATGACCATGTCGATGATGCCACTGCTGGAAGGAGCCGGTAGCTGAAGTGACAG